TAAACACATTTCTAATCTTATTTATTAGTGTTGATTAATTTAATTAATTAACACTAAAAAGTTAACTATTTTAATATATAATTTAATCAAAATTTCTTATTCTATTAAATAAAATTGGCAAAATTATCTTCCTCGCAACATATTGTAACATTATTTTTTTCTTATTAATCTGAGTATTATAACTTCCATCAATCGATATATTCCAACGACAATCACATTCAAATTGTAGTAACAGCAAATCGTAATCTGTGACTGTTCGATTTATATTCATTTAAATTTCTAAATGTTTCAGTTTAAAACATATATATATATATAGTTGTACAATAAAAATAAATGGAATATTTATGAACATATGTATGTCATTTAAAACACATTTCAACAATCCCTTCATAAATTGTGGAATAATACAGTGTTAGAGTAAATCAATATAATATTTCGTATTTTATGTGATGCTCTTAACAAGATTTAAAGTTAAACTCGTTTAGCGCTCGAAAATAATCAGTTCCGCAAAGCTCGCAAAAAAAAAAAAAAAAAAAAAAATTTGAAAGACTAATTCTATATAGATTGAAATGTTACATTTTGCAAAGCATATTTACAACTGTTATCATCAACTAAGATAAATATTCTTCTTAAAGAAACATAACAATGTATAGCTCACAAATAAAAATGTGATAACAGTAAATTATTTTATGATAAAGTTCGGCTTAACATAATTAACAATAATTTATAGAGAGCGAGTGTATATATATTTAGAAGATATCTGATATTATATTAATTATATATCTTACATATACTTTACGTTTTCCATCATCTGATTTGTGACTGTTCACTATGCGAATTTGTCGATTTGATTCATCATAATTAGTAATAAACATGCTTTTTACTGTTTCATTAGTTTCTGAGTATTTGAATAGATTATTTAGCACAAATATATATAAAAAAAATTATTAGTACTTAACAATGCTAATAAACATAATATCGAAAATATAATATAGAACATAACATGTGCTGTTTAAAATATCAATATATCACTGGTGATTAAAAATATTTTCATAAACGCAAATGAAAGCTGTACTATGCCAATATAAATTTAGGATAAGCTACACATTACTCATTACAATCTGTAAATTTATACACATTCGTATATATATTACGATAATGTGCTTATCACAATAGAGTACTATTTGCCTAAGAAGAAATTGATATTAACACTTAATTAAAACATGATGACAAGTTTTATAAACAGCCAACATGTGTGTGCCTAATATCTATTCTTAAAAAATCAGGTATACATATATTTTATATATGCATATATAAATTAGATAAAGATCAATCACGTAAAATAAATAAATAAATGTTTGTTTTCAACGTACAAAATACAGATCAAATCTCGATTTAGCTTTCGTGACCATCATTCCTTTTTTTTTTTTTACGACATACGTACAGCTTCATTCAGACAACAAGTACACCTGATCTTCCATAATATAGCAGACAGATCTCATAAACTCCCAAATAAAATAAAATAAAAATAATTTTTTAATTGTATAATTACTCTTTTATCGCTTTTAGCCAACCTCTTAAAAATATAAAGTTTTGAGCTTATCCCCCTCATTTTACACATAACTATAAATACATGTACTATATATCCTTTTTGTTAGTTATTAAACTGAATGTTTAATGTGTATTTAGATCACAATAACAAACATAAACAAATATCATAAAACCCTTCTGTCACACTGCAAGTAATAAATACCAAAATTTAAAATGATATGTCTCTCAGATAATTTATTTCGACAAAAAATCATTTTACAATGGTAGAATAATTAATCTGTAATCAATTGTATCACTCAAGCACTAAATAGGCACTCCGCAATCCTCGTCTTTATGATTCTTAGCATAATCGACTAAGAATATTATCAAATTTTAAATTCTTTTTGCTGCAAATCTCCTCAAAATTATGAAGAGTGTCATGGTTAATAAATCAATTTATTACGACATGTACCGATAAATCGATAAATCGATTGGGAAATTTTTATGAGATCTGTGTGCTAGAAGAGAAAAGACATGAATGTCATGAGATATCTCAGCAAAAGTATGGACTTCACCTGAACTCATAGATTTGTATACTGTGCTCCGGAACGTGTCTCAAATTCAAGGACTGATACCTGAAACATAATATAAAATTGTCTTTAATTATATATTTCATTAATCATATATATATTTGATATGCTTTTTTAAATACGTTTTGCATATTAAAGGATCAAATATTACCGATTAAGTTTCAGTGTTATCCAGTTTTTAACTTATAATAGATGCACACTTGTGTATTGTTTTACCATTCGGAGCTACGATGATAATAAAAGCCCTCTATTGTGGCGGCGGATTTCTGGAAGCAAATGTAGTAGAATCCCGCAAAGGAGGCACCATTAATATCTTTGATCGTGTGATCGGGAACTAAAAAGTGCTCCTTCCACCTCATAAATACAAAGTCTGTTCCCTTCAGTGCCTCGTAATCAAATGTATCGGAATTGAATGTTTTGGCATATTGGCAGAACGACTCAAACTTACTCTGCAACAAGAATAATAAGAAAGTCGATACAATTGGTGATAACCCAAGGATAGCAATGGTCATCGGGAGATAAGTACAGACCCAGTGTTTCTTGTCAACATCTTCGTCCGCATCCCACTTGCGGGTCAGGAATGGGTATTTTTTCGAAATAATTTCGCCGTCGAAAAACGTCGTCAATGTCGGAAATTCCTCGGTCAAGCCTTTGATTTTCAAATATCCGCACAGGTAACTGTTCTCTTCGTCTACGTGCTGCAACATCAAATGCGATATGAGTACGCGAATCGATCTAATGGGACAATAATCGATCCATGTTTCAGACACCGTGACAAATGGTCAACAACTCGTGACATCGATCTACACCGCGCGCGAACACGCGGGTCAACGACATTCTGTCATTCTGCGATCAGGACGAGATAGGAAATGAGAGCGTCGGATGTTTCAGACAATGGTCAACAACTCGTGACATCGATCTACACCGCGCGCGAACACGCGGGTCAACGACATTCTGTCATTCTGCGATCAGGGCGATCAGGGAAATGAGAGCGTCG